TTTGGGAATATTTCTGGGATTATCATTCCAATGTTGCTAAATGGGATTGGAACTCCAATTAACTTAGCCAAGGTTGGGGCTATGTCGACCTATTTAATTGCTCTTAAATATGAATCCTTTGAAACCAAGGTTGTTTCATAGTCATCTTTAAATCCATCAATCTTCTTCATAAAGTATTTATCATAATGAGCATTTTTTTTAGTTACAAAGAACACAGTGTTAGTTTCAAATGAACTGTTACCTCCATGATTACCATCATTCAACATGCCATGATCACCTGTTATAATTAGAGTGGTATCATTTGATAACCTTTAATAAATTCTTGTTATTATATCACTCAATTGTTCTAATTGTTCGTCAAGAATTTTATTTTAAATAATCCTATTATATTCATGTGCCACATAATCGATTCCCAAAAAGTGGATGACAGTCAAATCGAATTTCTAATTAAAGTTTTAGTGAAATAATTTTTCAAACTATTTGTCAACCACGTACATTGCTTGAGAGTTGACTCTCATCTTATTTAAAGGATGAGCTTAAGTAAATTCGTTAGGATAGAGTCCTAGCCAGTTATTATCTCCAATGAATAGTGTTTTCTTCCCACCCATTTTTGCCTAATGTATGAAACTATCTTCAACAATCTACATCAATGTATAATACTACCTCTGAATCATGAAAATTATCTAAGACCTTCGTTAATGGAGCGAAGTTACCTGTAGTCATGGTTTGAATTCTTGGTCCAGTAACTGAGGGAGTTTCAGCTAAAGATAAAAAAATTAGTGATTAAGGATCGCTTTTTCTTTATTAGATAAAGTTGAAATTGTAGCTAACTGCCAGATCCATTCTAAATGAATCTATTACTATCAATACAACTGGATCTGCTTTTTCTATTTTTCCTTCAGCTTTATCCCTAATATAATATCTATCTATGAAAACGCCCCTAAAAAATAGTATCAAACCCAAGAGTGTTGAAGTAATCATTATGCTGATCAAGGTGTTTATATATCCCATTATTTAATTTAATCACTTTTTATTTAAATTTGCAAAATACAGAATAACATAAACATTATTCTGAAAAAAATTTCTATATATTTTGACAAGAAATATATAGAAATTTGATATATTAAGGAAAAATCAATCATTTTTATATTTCAGGCCTGAACTATTAGTCTAAGTCTCTAATTTTTGAGAATTTCTACAAAAAATACGCACCAAATTTTTATATTGTTGATTTGTTATATATCAACTTTTAACTTTTAGCATTTGAGTAGTCTACTTTAAAACCTAATTTAACCAAATATACGTTAATTTTCAATTATACTATATTTATTATATAAACTTACTTAATATAATATATTCTCATGTCCTTACAATATGTTCAGGGTATTATTATATACATATTAGTGCTTTTCTTTGATTTAAATTTTGTAAATATATTTTTAGTATTTGAAGTAAATTGTAGTGAATTAAAATGATGTAGCTTGGGATTTTGGCTATTCTAAAATTTGATAAAGATCGTTGCATTTTGTTGTGTAAATGATCTGCTTGATGACTTCCCCACAATATGAATCTTTCCACACAACATTTGAATTGTTGAAAAGTTTTTTTATATAATTGATAGTAAAAGTTAAATTGAAAAACATTAACTACAATTCTAATCACATCAATTTAAAGTAAAATTCATCGTTGTTTACAGCCAGTGTCTCTAATACTTCCTCATAAATTGCTTTAATTGATTTCTCTAATTATTGGATTTGAGATTTCTAAATTTAGATAAATGTATACCTTTGGAAATTGCTTGATATAATATCTGAATTTATAAGCGTTTTTGGCTAAATTCTTTGGGTATTTGTAATTTTCCAAGTAATGGCACTCTCTTGATTTTTTGGATCTTATTTTAGATAAAGTATTGCAGAGATTATCGAGTCCAGTTTGAATGAGATTGTTCTGTTTAAATAGTTTTACTTTCCTTAAAGCGATTTCATATTTCTAATTGAACTTGGTTTGAGTTGTCTACTAAAATAACCTAGTTAATTCATAATAAGGCTTTAGAAAGAAATGCATGATTATCCAGCAAAGAAGAATACCTGAAATGTTGTAGAAACTATAATAGAACAATTGAGCTGTTGCTTAGTTTAGCAATTCAGATTTCAACTATTGAGTGTCATTATCATTCTATTCCATGAACTTGTAATCTACGAATCTTAAAGATATTTGAATATGCTTACACTATTTGATAGAATCTATTGTGGATACCAAATCCTCGAATAAACAAGTCTTACCCAAATAGCTTATTGTACCTACAAAAATTCTTGTATTCGAATTGGCAATTTGATTATCCCTTCTAATGAAGTATTTGATTGAGAACTTCATTCCAGTCTTCGTTGTCGAATCCAGTGATTGAAGTGTCATTAAAGAACTTCATCTCCTAGACAAAGTTGATGTTGGGGTAAACATTCGAAATCAATATCCTACCATCTAAATCAACCAGATAAATATTTAATTAATCATAGTTGATTTTTGGTTTGATCACTTGGAAATTGCTGTCCAAAGCAATGACTCCATCAAATTTTAGTTCTGAATCAGTCAAAGAAACAGTGAGAGTAAATTCGAATTCTTGTGTTTCGTAATTTCTGTAGATTTCAGATATCACTTCAGGTTGATTGCTATCGTTCAAAGCCGCAATATGATCCTTGTACCACTGTCTCTCTTTTGGTCTGTACATGGGGTATCTCATTTTTTATGGAATGATGGCGAAAAACTGCCCATCTCCTTATTATGTCAAATAAATTGTTGGTTCCAGTTCGCTATAACCGATTAACAATAATTATTAGTTTAACATTTAAATCAAAACTATCAAATGTTAATCAATTTCTGTTTTTGGAATTACAGCGAAATCAATATGATTAGCGTAATAATAACAGAGTTGCGGTAGATAATACTGGAAGGGTTGAATATCTCTTATATTATAATCAACACAACTAAAAGGAGTATTACCTAACATAACATTTGATTGTTTAAGCAAATACAAGTTTTCATTATTAATTTTATTAAGCAGACCAAAGCCAAAATTAAAAGTTAAGAAGGTTTAGTACTCCAAGTAAGTTGATTGTTTGTGAAGAGCCTTTTGATTAATATTTTATAGCAATTATAGCGAGACCTTCTCAATCACAGATTCAATTATTACTCTATTAATCACCAAGGCTATCGTCAAAAAGGCAATAATCAAAGTAAATATTAAAAGTTAAATCACTAAAATTTAATTCTTCACTCTATAGTTTCTCAAGCAATATAAAAATTTCGGAGTTCTAATTTAATTAAGAGAAAACATAATATTTTGTATTTTTGATTAATATGCTATTTTATTTTCATCGAATTTAAATCATTTAATACTCAATTCATTAGACTTAATGAAGTTAGGCCCCAACGGAAGAAATTTCATTCTCTATTTTAAAGTACATTTTTTCACACAAAACACTTCGTAGTTTTCATCTACGATACATCAAAATACAAAATTAAAATCTAGAAAAGATCTTTGTCTTAATCCTTTTATATCACAATTGTAAATATAAATTATTTTTTCCTCTTTTTTTAAGATTAATTATATTAACTAAGAAAGTATGATTATAAATATTTTGATATTCATTTATTGAATAAACTTCTCAATAATAATCTAAGGGGACTGGCCATGTCAAGATAAGTCAAACAAACTGCATAATGGGAGTCTTCAGGTTTTAAACTCTAAAAATATTGAATTAATTTTTACTCTTGAAGCAACTTAGGTCTCTAATATCACACTCAACATTGAGATGGATCCCAAAATCACTGTAAATATCAAAAATCCATTTCCAGTTACAATACTCAACACTAACACTGCAATATATCCAACACTTGATCCAACAGCAATTACAAGATGCTTGCTAATCACACAATGAGTGTCTTATATTTATTCGATTATTTGATTCTATCTTGCTTCCTAGTTGAATAAATTTCTAATCAAAGTAAGCTTTTGGATTCTCTCAACAAATGATAATTCTTCTGGTAATTCATGAGTCTATTTCAATAATTAATCATTCAATTAATTGAAATAATAAAGAGCATAGATGATGATTATTTCAGAAATTGGAAATGCTCTGTCAAGGTTCTTGTTTGACAAACCTACTATGAAATTTAATCCCAATGATCCCATTATTGTAAACTTCATTAAAGCAGTGTAATAATGAGTTCTTTGGGTCTTTACTATAACAATTTGAAGTAAATTGTGACCAATCAAAATCAACAAAACCAAGATGATCCATACATTTACTGTTTTGTGATTGCCATTCCCTCTTTAATTTCCAGCAATTCCAATTAAAAGAAATGCTATTAATACTGATTGGAAATGGAATAATTTAGATTATTATGAAACCTAATTTATTGATAAACAATATAGAATACAATGCATCTAAATTTTCTCAAAATTGGAAGTCCTAATACTAGAGCAATCAGCAATCCTAAAACAACGTACCAAGTCCATCTAAAGTAACTCCACCAATAATGATGAATAACCACTATTGAACTAAACCATTTTGTCAATCCTAATAAAAACAATCCCAATATGATTGAATGTTAGAGTAAAATCTTTTTGTAGTATTCAATTAGAAATGCTGATCTATCTGAATTAATATCAATCAAAACAGACTTCTCAGCTACTGCTTGTTAAACATCATCCAATTGAATATATTAGGCTGCTGGCACTACATTACTCAATATTGGGTATTAAACTTTTGAAATTTAGCTTGATGACTAAGGAGTCTACTAATTGAAGATTGGTAATTCTTGTTGTGTAGACATTTTCTAATTTAATTTATAATTATTACAGAATTCAAAAGGAGTATAAAAACTTAAAATAATAATTATTCAACAATCGATATTTATCAGAATTTATTAGATTTAATTGCAATTTAAATAATTTTATTTCTTATTTATTTAATTAGTATTAATATTAGTTAATATAAAAAATGATGACACACCAAAAGATTTTCAATTTTTTGAACTAATTTATTCTACTTAATAAATGGTATTTGAATACTACATCTCATTGTTTTTTTCAATCGAATTCTAAAGTTTCTGCACACATTCATAAAGCTGATTTGAAATTTGAATAATGTTCGACGATTGAACCTTATTATAATTAATTATATATAAAATATATTAAGAAATTTCATTCAAGATATCAGAGGTGAAAGCAATCAGCTATCCATAGAATTCCGAAGCCCATTTGTCGTCAATTGAGACAAAAATTGAATTTAAATAGAAGTACAAATATCCTCCTGACTAATAGAGATTTAAAAATAAAATTGTTTGATTGCAAAATACAAACATAAACGTTGCCCTGAACCAAAAATTGACAATATGAGTTTTTTGAACATTAAAATTCATTCAAAGCAACTTTTAAACTCAGAAAAAAAACAATTTGTTTTTTTTTTTTGAAATAGAATTTTTTCATTGTTTTTCTGGAAAATTCTGATTAGAATTGATTTATAAGGATCTTATTTTTTCCTTCATATTTAAATAAAATAAATGTGGGCACGAATTTTAAGATGTTTCAGGCCTAACCCTGACCCTCTGTTAATATGGGAGCCCCATACAGACTTGAATTTGTACAGCGACTTCTAAGAGTTGATAGAAAATCGCTTTAATGAAGTTAAGAGAAGCTCAAGCATTTATAAATACTATGCTAAGATAGGATTCCAGGGATTCATATATATCTTAAATATTCTTGAACTTATCTTTACATTATGTTACAAGACTTACAATAATATTTCTGATGACGAGACATACTATGTGAGATGCTATTTTATTTCTATCATTTTTTGTGTTCTACTTCATAGTGGAAGCTGGATGTACACGTATAAATTCAGAGAAGTAGCTAAACAAAGCCTTTTTGTTGAAATTTCATACTATATCTATTACATGTTTATGGGAGTACTGAGCTATTTTAAATTAGCTCCCTTTATTTATTATTTTAATAGAGATTAATCCATAAAATAATTCTCATTCAGTGAGATTAATAAATACCTCTAATTAAATGGGGAAGATAAATTTCGAAATCCATGCATGCTTTTCAAGCATAGAACAAAACCTGTCAATATCTTTAGAGATTTAATATTCCACAGAGTTGCTCTCATTTGAATGATAATTACAATGACTCTTTAGACTATACCTCAACTCTTTATCTAAGGCTTTTATAACACAGAAATAGGTGCTTGGGGTGGATTTAATGTGTTCAGTTATATATTGTTAGTTAGTAATTTATTCTATTACTTTTCTGAATTATAATTCATAGTATTCACTACAACATATAGATAGATGTAAACAGAGCTACAATTTAAATTGAAAAAAATTAAGTTAAAGTTAATTTAAGAAACAAAACAATTAATAAAATCAGATTTAAAATATATTGGATTTGTTAAAGCTTTTTATTTTCATATTGATCCAAGTACATCTTAATCCTTAAATGATATTATATATTCAGCACTTATTAAAAGAAAAGGTGTATGGTTTAAATAATAAAATTCTTGATAAAGTAAAAGAATATAAAAATATTTAAATACAATTCATTGATAAATATGAAAATGTTACTTTGTAGTATTTAGCTAATTGTTTAAGATTAATCAAAGTAGATAATATCAGTCTTTTATATCATGAAGAAGCTAGATTAATTCAATTGTAGGTTATTTTTAGAAATCTTCCAAACTTAACCTTTGAACTTTAAAATCTAGCCAATCTAGATAATTTATGGGATGATGATATAATTAATTTTAATGAAGCAGAGGAGGCAGTCTAATCAATACAATTTTTTGAAATCCAAGAATAACTGCTGGTTGGTAAGCGGTTAACATCATTTATTTCTTCATGCTGAGTACATAACAATATCCCCAGAATTTTAGGCTCTAATTCCAGCTGTAATTTATAATTAAATCAATAATAGATCCCATTAGTATTACTAGAGGCACCTTAATCGATTATTGACGAAGCGAGAGTTCAGATTTAAACTATAACTAAAAGAGCGCTATTTGAATAGTCAGTTGGTCAAATTTAATTTTTGTTGAAGTTGTATGATTATTACGAAACTTGGAACAAATTGAATGGGTATTAAGCAACCATTCAAACTATTTGGTCAGTTTTGAATGGATCTTTATAAATAACTTCTTTATTTTATTTTAGTAATGAACCCGATATGTTTATATCTGCATTAATAGTTTTAACCGCAGTCAATCCAATTTTATAGATGCTATCATTTGCCATATTTTAAAAACGTGTATTTAAAGCTTTTTCAACATTAAAATAGTTGGCTTATGTTTTTTTCTTTGCAATATTTAACTTTTTAAAGATATGGGACATAGTTATGATTTGTTTATATCTAGGAGTTGAAGACTTCACAGCAGAGGTGTCTAGAACTTTTAGTTCTGAAGCTTATTTAAAGTTCAAAAGTTATGCCTCCAAATTTAAAGGTAGTATAGCTACTTCAGTATTTAAGTATGACCTTGTCTAAATTGATCCCAAGGATATTTTTTAAATTAAAAATTAACCTTTCTATGAGGCGGTAATGTGGAGAGCAAATGTTGAAGAAGTTTTGAATAAAATTCCTTAGTTCTTTGTCTATATTTTATCATTATCATCAACTCAAATTGATCCATTATGGATTGCGTCAATTTTTCAACAAATAAAAGAAAGTATTTAGGCAGTAAAAGATATATTAGAGGTTGTAATTAAAGACTATTTTATTCCAGCTTTAATTTTATGCAGCGTTTCAGTCGATTAATTCTTTTCATCTATGTTGTATTTGAGCTCAATATCAAATTAAATACTTTTGGAATATCCTAAATCCTTCTAAATTGTTTCTAAAGTGTAAGAATAGTATTTAAGAGAAAAATTTATTTTTAAAATTAATTTGAAAACCTTAAATTTTTCCAACTATGCAGATTTAAAAAAATAGAAGATGCTAGCATAGTTTAGGTATGTTCTTGCTTAAATAAAAACAGTTTTAGAAATTGATTAAGCACAAAGATTATTTTGTATGGGACCTGAATTGAATGATTTGATAAGATGTTTAAAAGTTAGTCCTTTGTATTAATTAAAATTGAATTATTACTTAGATGAAATAAATCCTATCCATATTCCTCATATTAATGCATTTATTAAAAATTGTCCTTAAAGATTACAATTTTTACAACTCTCAGTCGAATCTAAAAATTTTACATAAATGTCATTTTGTGTTGGAAGGGCTGAAACTCTAAAAGCTTTTTCTTTTTCCTATCTCTAAATAATAACTAAGCTAATTCATAATCCTGCAGCTGTAGTTGGTTTAATTATGTTGAACATAGATCAAAATTTTTTAATTTTAGATAGGTATGATTTTGAACAATTATATTTTGAAATATTTGGTAATCTTATTTTAGATATTTGCAGGTAACTATTTAATAGATTTACTTAATATTAAGTTTTCAAGGCTTCCGTTATCAATAATAATGAAGCCATTCAGAATTTTTATTTTGTTTAAAATTTAATTAGTAATTATTTGGAAATTCTAGATCTCACTTTTGAAAATATTAGATTAGATTTTGGGGCATTCTAATTTACCAATCTCAGTATTTTCAAAATGATTTTAATAAAGTGTGAATTTGATAGTAAGAGACTGAGGAACATTTTAAACAATCTAAATAATAGAACAAGGCAGGTTTATATAGATATGTCGTAATGTTCATTACGCTTTACGGCAATTTAATAGAGAGAATTAGTGAGACAACTAGAACAAAGAAGGATAGATGTTTTCATAAAAATATGATAATATCATATTTATTATAAAGTGCAATTATATTATTAAATTTCTACATAATTTTTATAAAAAGCCATAAGTGGAATGTAAATGCTACTTCCAAAATTATTTATCATTAAATTTAAAATAATATAGAAAATATGAAACTTCTTTTAAAGTTGTTCAATAAAGTATTTATTTTGTTTTATAGCAATTATATATTTATGAATCTCTAATCCTGATTACAATAATTCCTACATATTACAAAATATTGACTCCAAAAAAGGTATATCTGTAAAAATAGATTAATTCAACATGAATTATGCTTTTTACATTTTAGAAAATATATTGGTTTGATTTAAAATTTTTGTAATTGTTTTTTTGAAGTTTTTTACCAACAAAATACATAAATTTACACATCTGAATATTAAATATTTAAGCAAATTAAATTAAATCAAATAAAGAATCTAGCAACAATTTAAAATACTTTAATCTGCCTTATTGAAAAGGTATTAGAGATTAAAAATTATAAGTAGCAAATATTTGTAATCAAAAATAACTATTGATTTTACTTGTAAATTCATGTTATAAATTAAATATATGAATAATAATTAGTTCAAAAAATTGCTCCTTTACAAGCTAATTAACGGTAAAAAAAATTCAATATTCATTTCAAATTTTATTATTAAAGGAAATTTTGGTTAGATTTCATATATAATTTGAAATCTAACCATAATTCACTGCTAATACTTTTGAAATATCGATATACAGAAGACTCGTACTAAATGGAAAATAATTTAATTCACTTTTATTTTTTTTTGCCTCTGAAAAAAAGTAGGAATTCACCTTAGGGTTTAATGGTGAAAAGGGATGGTGGGTCTGGATAACTTATACCAGATGAGTGAAGGGTAATGTTGATCATTTCACCTTATTATGGCAGAGACTTAGGAATATTTCATGTGGAGGGAGAATAAGAATGTTAGAATAATGTAAAGGGGTCTTGGAGAATGTCGATAACATGATTGATCAAGGTATGGAAAAGAAATGAAATAAGTAGAATTATTATTTGGATTTCAATGTAAAATTTGGAAAATTACTGATAGTGATCCGATTAATTCTGATTTAGTTTTACAATAATAACAATATAATACTAATGATGACTTATTTTTTAAAGTCAATTTTATCCATAAATTTTAACAGGTCATTTATGAAATATTGTAAATGAAAATGTGTAAAAAAAAAAATACAGCTATATAATAACAATTCATTAAGATTTAGAATTAGAGAAAATTTAGATAAATACAACTAAGAGGTAGTTACTATAGTTTCATAGATGTATTCAGAACAATTTGTTACTTTACTGATCGAAATTTTGTAACTTCCAAGATCATCATTCACTTTTGTCTTAGATATCATAGATACAACATTTGTAGAAGAATAGATGAGTGAGCGATATTTCAAAAGAATAACTTACTTCATGAACTAACCTTCTATAATCTTCTTTAAATTAAAGGGTAACAAAAGATCCACTAGCTCTTTAGTTATTAATTTAACTTTGCAAATCCACACAATAATCTTTGCTTTAGGTATATCCATAAGTTAAATGTCTCAATATTTAAGAATTTACTGCTCTATTTATCACTTAAATCTTTTTCTTTACTTAATATGATGTGGCTGGTAGGTGGTTGTCTTTGACAGTTTGGTTGGACCTAATGGATAGAACTTTGCGATGGTTGTGCCGGGAGAACATAAAGTTCTCTAAACATGGCAAGAAGAAGTAGAGATTAGGGTACACTTTGTTCTAAACCCTTAAATACATTTTCAAGTGACCAGCTCAAATCTGCTTAAATTTGTATCCATTTTCACTTAGGATAACTATCTATTTTACGTTAGATGAAAAAGATTCACTGGATCATGTGTGATTGGGCCAGGAGCTTAACAAATCTTTGTTATTAAGACATTTTCCTGTGAGGCTTGAAGTTGGCTTAAAATATCCAAAGTTTACTACTGAAATATGATAAGATATAGATATAATTTAATTAATTTTGACACAATAGATAAAAATGATAGATAAAAAGATAAGAAATAAGTTGTTAGTTCTATAAAGAGTTTTATTATAAAAATTTCAATTTTTATTCACACATCAAGAAATAAACTAACCTATGAAGGAGTATAAATTAATATCATGAATCAATATAAGTTTAATATTCTTGTTATAGATTTTTCTATGAAGGCTTTTACATTGTTGATTCTTTTGAAGCAAATTTATTCTAGATATTTATTGTCATCATTGTTTTGCAGTGTACTTTGATTTTTGGCCTTATTCTTTTCAACTTAAAGTAATCTTTAAGTTCCTTCTTCTCTTTAGAGGACCCATTTTTCCACTTATTAGAGATAATACACTCTCCACTGATTATTTGTGATTAAAATTTTCTAATCTACCTCTTTATTATATCAGAAAAAAAAATTCCTAATTTCCTTTGGGATTTTTATTTTTTAAGGAACAACGGATAGAACCTACGGGTTCCTTTTTCTCAGTATTCTCATGAAGAATTACAAGATTACTGTATTAATGAAAAAAAATTAAAATATTTTCACAAAAGTAATTAATCAATCGGAAAAGTCTTTTAATCCTAATCATCTTTTGCGTTTTTCATAAATTCAAAAATGATTTAATAACGTAGAAATTTCAAAATGGTCAACAATAATATTTCTACCTGTAATTTGAAAATTAGAATTTTGAATAAATTAAAATTAAATAGATTTATCATATGACATTTCCAATTTGAAAAATAAAATTTTACCCAAGAAAACAACTAATAAAAAGAAAAGACTTTATTTTTATAATTCAAATTTTGTCAAACGATCAACTAAACCACAAAAAATAAAATCAACCTAAAAGCTAATCAAGAGTACTTCAATTAATAAGAGGGGGTATATCAGTTAGTAGTAACCAAACAAAAATTCAAATTAAAAGTATATACCATAGTTATATTCAAAATGTAATATAAAAATTTAATCAAATTCATCGAATATTTAATTCATTGTAAATTTTATTTATTTTGCTATGATATATAAAGAAATAAACAAAGTGGCTGACTGGGTTTTATTCATTGCGGTTAATACTGTCCAGAAATGGTCTGTATATAACAATTCTTATATAAATAGCGATTGGCTCATATATGAAAAAAACTAATAATAAAGTGCTTAAAAGATTTAAGGTTATCTATATATCCATCTCCGTTTTATTTATTTCGCTATTATGAGAAAAAAAATATACATTTAATTTAATGCCAAAATCATTAGGAAAATGTACATAAAAGGTAAGCAAAGATATAATACAACCATAACTACAGAAGCTTTGCCTTCAAACATATAAATTGCTTAGGTTATTTTTGAAAGTGCTCTGATGACTAAAGTTATTAGGAGATTTATGCACGCATTGATGATTACCATATCAATCAATAAGACCTCCCAAGTGGATGTTAAAATTAAAATGCTTATTTAATTACTAACCTGCAAAAATCGAAAACTTTTTTTCACAGGGTTTTAGTCATTCTAAAAAAATTACAAAATTGAATGGATATTCTATTTGAATAATTAAAAATTTTACATAAAAAGATGTTTTAAACATAAAGATATGACCTGGATAAATATTTATTTGAAATGCCTTCTTAGCAAGCTCTAGTGTATCTGAACTATTACTTGAAGCTTGCTCCATAATAATATTCTTTTGACTTTGATAATCTAGATAAACAAGGGCACAGTAGACCATAATAGATGATATAATAAATGCAATTTAGACATATATAAAGGTCTGTTGAAATATTTCAATATTCTGATAATCCTCTTATATTTAATTCACCAAAGTATTATTTTATTAATTTATAGATTTATTGGAAATTTTTATCAAAAATAAACTTCCAAATGACTTACATTTACAATAGAGTTATGCACTTTTATTATTAAGTTCTTCCATTAATAAATCACAATTTTCATATGTATTATCCTCTAAATGATTAATACAATAATAATTATAATTCATAAATTCGGAATCCCCTTTTTAAGTATCGCAATATTGAAATTCTGCCAAGTCAATTCTATACTAAGTATTTTATTAAGGTTGATTAAAAGAAGTATTAGCGTACAGAAAATTAGTCAGAGTTGATTTGACAAAATACTTTTAATTAATTTCAAAATCAGATCTATTTAAATAAATTTGAAGCATAGATCTTTAATCATTTGACAGATTATAATAATTGTAATTAACTTTGATTTGTTTCTTCTGTTAGAAGGCAATTAAATTATCCAAATAATCATCTTCCAATTAAAACTCTTTATTATATACAGACTTAGTAATTTTTTAAAGTTATAACTTCATCATTAAACCTTAAATTTATAAAACTTAGCCATTTACTTTAACTTTGTCAATAATTTGCAGTGTAATTTTATCAATTAATTAAATTAAAGTTTCAGATATATTCATAACTTGCTCTTAATATTATGTTTAGATTTAATTCTCTTAAATAATAAGCAATTAATTATCAATTAATTGTACTGAACTAAATAACATCTAGATTACACCATTAAACTTCATAACTTATTGAGTATCAATAATTAGATCGTTTTTTTTGTTTTCTTATTCAATGTCTCTCTTCAAATAGATTAAATCTGCTATTTATACCTCAACCTGTTAAGAGCTTGCTATTATGGATGAAATATTAGCGCTTTTTTTATCGGTAGATTGATCATCGGTACTACTAAATAGAGATGACTCTTTATTGTAGCATTCATTTTGCTAATCTTATTCTAACAATCTCATTGAAGAATTTTAAGCCTTCTGATTTACTTCTAATTTTTTATATAAATTAAGTGTTTAATAAGCTAATAATTTTTCATAAATAGCTTCTGAACTCATTACTTATTCAACAGAATTATATAATTCATCTTTTAATTTTATGCAATCTGATTCATTATTATGATTAATCATTATTTCAAATATCCATGCAATTTTTTGCCTTAAATTTAATTGGTCTGTTTTTTAATTATTGCATAGGATTTGTTTTTTTGAGATTTTAAAATTCTAATGGATATTTGTAAAGGATCCTCTGAAATCCATGATCTAAAAAATAATGTTGATTTCTGAACTAGGAAGATATAATATGAAGTGATTTGATTATTAAAAGCTATAATAAAGTAGCGAATTATCGGATGTCTTATTATTAAACTCTTCAAAATCATCTTTAAAAAGAAAAACTTTCATTTAATATGAATATGGCTTATCATCAGATAATTCGCAATTAATTACTAATTTCTAAGATTCTAAGGTTTATATATTCTATTGCAGCATTTTTAAATTACAAATCGGAGGTTAATTTAAAAACAAAGTCAAATCGATTTGGTTAGGAATGATATCATCAGTAAATTAAGCTAAAAGTTTAAGTAGAAATTTATTTCCTTTATTAAACTATTATAAATAATCGTATAATTGAAAGGAATATTAAAAGTATTAGGATTTAAGTATTGTAATTAATTGATAATCATAAATTAATGCAATTTAATAATCCACGAGGTATTATCTTTCCTAGAATGGAATATTAAAGGTAAATTATAAATCTTCATAATTATTAACAGGCCGTATCAAATATCCACTATTATAATCTACATCTAGGATTTAGAAATCATAATCCAAATACAATATATTTGTGTTATAAGAGTACGACACCGAGTTTTTTGTGGCAATTACTTACCAAGATTAAATTGTGTATGGTTCTATAGTTGCTTTAGGGAATGTTTAACTTGTCTAAGTAGAATTATATATTAATTTCTACTTTTAAGAATCTTTACATTCTTCTCGTGAAGTTAGTTCTAAACAACTAACCATAATTGACAAATTTGGATCTTAATTCCAATCATTTAGAACATCTAGATCTTTGCAAAGAATATGGATATTTGTAACATTTTAATAATTTTATATCTTTTTTGTTCCATTAAATACGCAGAGAATCCCCCCTGATTTAATCTAAAGAGTGATATTTCGTTAGGATTCATATTAAACTGAAGAATCTGAAATCGTAAACTTAAATATATAGGCTGTGAAAGCACTTAAAGAATAACTCTCAATATTAAGTTCTAATAGATTAGAACTAATTAATTCATTAAAATTCAGATTTGAAGATCTAGATAAAGAGTTATTTCTATAGATTTCATAAAATTGAATTTAATATTAAGAATTATCTTGTGATATATTTGAATTATCGATGCAACTTTTCTTAGTCATTGTAAAAATCATTTTGATTGATTCAAATGGATAATAGTATTGTTTGAGTTATTACAAAATGCTAGGAAATTATCCAGCATGTGTTTGTATTTCTATTTTCGACACATTTTTTTCTGAAACGAAATTTTGAACTTCCACAAATAGGGTAATATTTGACTATATAGGAAATGTTTTTTCTGGAATTGTTAGATCTAGGATTTAATAATTTGTTAATTCTGTAACGAAGTTTTCAAGATCACCATTTCCATTTGAGCCTTACACGATAAATGACCATTATATCGAAATAAAACTTCTCAAACCATCATAAAGCTTTGATTCAATTAATATGATATTCTCTTCACAAGGGTTCAATTGGTATGTAGGTACATCGTATTGGATAGCAGGAGCAAATGGGTTAGATGGTGGTAAAAGTTAATTAAAAATGAAATGCTAGAGTTTGCTATCACAATGAGTATGACCAAAGGAATTCTCCAAGAAATCAATTGTATCTCCCGGAATAATTGTAGGATTTTCCCCGATATTTAAAAGCAATTATTTATCATTTGCAGGATCTATATTACATTGAGGATTCATTCCTAATTTTGAGAGAGTCGTCTAATTCAAGACATTGAAGCAACCATTGCTTTCAAGGTAATTTGAAAAGAAGTTTGGATTTAAGGGGAAATCAAAATGGACAATTATTGTTGTCAGGTCATCTGATAATTTAATTTTCATCACAGCTACTTCACAATCTTTGATATTAAGGATATTATACTTGAACACCAAGGAGTTAATAATGAGCTAATTGAATTTGGAGGAGGATCACAAGTCATTTAATCTGATAGGATTCTATTGCCATTACATGATAAGCATTCATCCAAAGTACATGTTTTACAAGTGTAATCACATTTTAAGCAATTTAAAGTCTAGAAATCATCATAATATCCATCTTAACATCGACAAAATGGAATTTCAAATCGATCTCCTTTACACGCTAAACAATTGTCTGCATAATAGGCACATGTTTAACATTAAAAGTCACAAACTAAAGATATTGATTCTATATTTACTGATGCATTCAGGTTGACCACCTTCAAAATATCCATCCTCGCAATCACATGTTTTGTTTAGACGGCCTTATTTACATGTTACACAATTTGAGGCTAGAGTCTAACAAGTATCACATTAAATTTCACAAGCTTAGTTTATAATAATTTTGTACGTTCACAAAGAAGTTAATCAGTTTCAAAGTATCCATTCATACAGTGACAAACAGGAGGATCTATTCTTAAATTACTAAGACATTTAAGGCAATTATTTGGATCGTTTTCACAAATTTTGCAACGAGTATTACATTTTTTGCATATTACTTGAACTTCATCATCATAATATCCATCTTTACAATTACATTGGTTTGAAATGGTTAATCTGTTTGAACCTTAAACATATTTGCAGCTGACACAATTATTTTTATCATTTACACATCCAGAACATTTTATATGGCATTCTATATGAATATGATGATAAATACTTTAGCAAGTTTCATTAGAATCCTCATAAAAATTAGAAATACATGGACATTTATGAATAATAGATTAATCTAATCTACCTTAATTAATATCGCAACTAGTACAATAATCTCTCTAATTTTTACAAGTTTGACAAGAATTCGAACATTCTAATTTAATAAAATTAATACTTTAACATATCAATTTGCCATTATCAAAATACCCAGGGATGCAAGTACAAGAATTTTGATTTAAAACACGAAGATGATTTTCGTAACAGGAGTGACATCTAGTAGAACTTGTTTGGCAGGTTTAACATATATCATTGCATTTTTAACACATTTCTATCCCAACATCATAATACCCATCTAGACATGGGCATCTATTCATTTAAAACAATCTTTTATTTGATTCTTCACAAGTTAGACATTAATTTGATTACATCTAACATGTCTTGCAACTACTGTGACATTCTATTTTTAATATTTGTTAATACATAAACATTATTTTTGATTAGCTTCATAAAAACCATCCTTACATAGACATTTTGATGTTTCATTGTCAAGATATCTAGTGATTAATTCACAAGTCAAACACTAAGTTTAAGTTAAACATTCTGTACAAGTAAAATTGCAAACTAAAAATTAATATAAATAATACGTTCACATTATTGAGAGATGATATTAAAGAAATAAGAGGATTTACAAACACATCTATTTTACTAATTGAGTGTTAAATTTAAGCTTTAATCACATTAGGTACAATATGAAGAAGTGGCAAAACAAGTTAAACATGTTTGATCACATTAAATACAGGAAATCTTAACAGTATCTTCATAATATCCAGCTTTGCAATTACAAGTGTGGTTCGTAACATTTATGATTCTATTTTTATCTGAAGCACAGGTCAAACAAAATGAGTCTAAACCAACACAAGTTGCACATGTAGAATTACATGAATAGCATTTATTGTCTAAATTCGACAAATATGTTCCATCAATACATATACATTATGAATTAACAAGAATTTTCTATGAAACACATGATGTACAATTTGTAATAGTATTTAAACATTCCTAACAGTTCACATTGCATTGTTAACATAACCCATCTATTTCAGTTGTACCTGATTAACATTAACAAGTATTAGTATTAGTGTTCAATAATCTTAAGCTATTTTTATCACATTCTGTGCATTTTTTTGAATTCAAATTACAATTATAACAGTTTGAATCACATTTACTGCAATTACTTAACCCTTTTTCAAAATAGCCAGTATTACATAGACATTGATTTTGATCTAAATGTCTTGTTTACTCACAAGAAGTGCAATACGTTGAAGAGTTAATGCAGCTTAAACATGTATAATAGCACTATTAGCAATTTAAGGAATATCCATCATCGTAATATCCAAGCAGACATTCGCAAACTTTCCCATTTAATATTCTAAAGGAAGTAGCTTAAGGTTAGCAAGTAATACATTAATTTGATCCATAATCATTACATAGTTAACAAGTATAATGGCATTATTAACAAATTGGTACTCCGGAATCATAATAATGAGCATCACAATTGCAAGAAAATAATATTGAATCGTAAGTTCTATATGAGTTTATTTAACAAGATTCACATCTAGTCGAGATTATTTTACATGTTTAGCAAGTATAATCGCATTCTCTAACTATTACAAAGTATTACTTTAACAGATAGGATTGATTTCATCATCATAATATGTATCTGGGCAATTACAAGACTAGCTTACAGAATTATAAATTCTTAGGCTTGATATTGGACAGGATTTACATAGAGTAGGTAAAGTTACACATCCACTGCATCGACCATCACATTCTTAATAAATAAAGGAATTAATTACTTGTACAATTAGGAAAACCACTATCTAAGTAATTTTCTATACATATGCAACTTGTGCCAACCAAAATTCTTGATTCTGAATTCAAACAAGACAAACATTAATTTGATAATGAACCACTGCAAGAAAGACAGCTATAATGACAGCCTTATGATATTATTGATTTAGTTACTTTGACATTTATTTTTTGATGGAACAAAATATGTACTAAGTTAGGTTCCTTATAGTTTTGTTTTGCATTAACAAATGTTTCCAAGTAAATATTTATCTGGGTTACAAGATATACAATTTGTTGGTGTATTAATGCAATCTAAGCAATCAGTGCTGCAAGCTATTAACATAACCATTAATATATACTTGAACATTCTTGTTTTCCTGTATCATAGTATTTACTCATGCAGACGCATTCTCCATTTGCGCTCAATTCTCTTTTACTGAACAGATTACAAGCCGTGCATTAATTATATTTTGGTCCTTTACAGGCATAACAATTACTATAGCACTCTAAAATTCGATTTCAAACAGTACTTATGCATATTGGTTTTCCAGGCTCATCATAATAATAAGCTGGACAAGAACAAGAGTTATCAGTTCCTAAATCACGGAATGATTAATCAGGACATTTTGTGCAATTATCAACTTTTATAGTACAGGATGAACAACGATAAGAACATTCTAAGATAAATCAAAATATTTACTTGAACACATAGCATCTGTATTTGAAGCTTCCATTGTGTTATCCATACAGACGCATTTGTTTGCTTTCATAAGTCTATTTTTAGCGACTGAGCAAGTGATACATCCATCCTCACTTGCAGAATAGCATGTAAGACATGTATAATGGCATTCTAATAATCAATATTAAATAATTACATGAACATTAAAGTATGCCTGTGCTATAATAACCAGGGTAGCAATCACATTTTGATATATTCAATTATCTATAAGTCGTATCACAACTTAAACAATTAGTTTAAGAAGCGCCATTACAAGTTTTGCATGAAGGATGACATTGTTAACATTCTAAAAAGACTGGGTCACTATAATAGTTTGAATCGTTGCATAGACATTAAAAATTAGTTCCAACTTTATCAGGATGTCTTGTTGATGGGCAGGAAGTACATTTATCTTAGCCATAAACATTACAACTAGCACAAGAATGATGACAAGCCACTAATTATTATAAAGAAATTGAAGCTACAATAGCATAATTGATCCTTGAAACCAGGGTCATAATAAGCTTAGTCACATGCACATTTATAGTCTACTGTCAAATGTCTATGGGCAACAGTGGAACATGCAATACAATCAGTTTAAAGAGGTCCTTTACAACTCAAACATGAATAATGGCACTCTATTATTATATTTATAATCTTCTACTAATGCAAATATCTGAGGTTCCACTCTCTCCATATCCATCTTAACAAGCACATCGAAAATCATTAGATACTACTCTATGTTAACCTTCAATACACATAGTACAATATTGATTTGTGGTGTTATCAGAGGGCTGATAACATTTCTCACATAAAGGATGGCAGGCTAATTAAATGATTAACTTTTTACGTTTACAAATACTATTCCCGTCAGATTGAGTCTACAATAATGTTCGTTAAAAGCAAAAACATTTTCCATTATCAAAGTATTTAGAATAAATGTTAGGATCACCGCATTCAGTACAATCATTTTCAGAAATTCCTTTACAATTAAAGCAATTAACATAGCATTCTACTTTATAATTAGACATACTTAAGCATATCTGATCAGCATGACCAGTCTCAAAATATCCTTATTTACAAATGCATTAAGAACCTACAAGCATTCTATTTGAAATAGGTTTACATGAGGTGCAATCATAATAATCTTGACCGCAAGTTTAGCATTACCCATCTAAACATTTTGCACATTGACCATCCTTTTCGATATAACCATTAGGATAATCACAAACACATTTTCCTGGCACAATAGCAGAACTTTCAAATCTTTCTTTCAAGTAGCAAGTCGTACAGTAATCTGGATCAGTATAAAGACATGTTTAACACTTTGATGAGCAGCCAATAAATGGTATGCATTTCTTATCAGCAGTTATTACATGTGTTCCTTTGCAAATTTTGCATTCTGTAGGGTTCATACAAATCAAACAATTTTCCAAGCCGGGCTCATCTTTACATCCTAAAATATTTTAAGTAAACTTACGTGTGCATTTTTGTTGGCTTGAATTATAAAAGTATCCAAAGTCGCATATTTCGCAAGTCATCCCAACAGCTAATCCAGTATTAGGATCTAAAATATAGGCCACTTTAGTGCAGTTAAGCTCTCCAAAGCATTAATTGTCTTTTAGATGATAATGAAATTCACATGCAGAACAAATACCCATAACACAAGTAGTACATTTATTAGGGCATGCTTGAATTCATTTGATTATTTATACCGACACATTAATTATCCACTTTCTCATAACCTTATTTACATTCTTCAAATGCATATACACCGTTAGTATTAGAACACTACTTATGTCCAGTTTGACAGGCTATTATAATTTAATCCGAGATACCTAAAGTACATTTTAAATCAGCGTTGTCTGATGGAGAAAACCCTTCCTTGCATGTTCCACAATAATTCGAAGTACAACTTGCACAATTGTTTCCACAATCTAAATATTGAATTTCATTTACCAATTGATAAATTACAAAATTCACCAAATCTAACAGTTGAACAATATTAGCATTTTATAATATCACCAGCCTTTTGTGCTAAGAAGCATTCACCTTAAGTGTTCGGAATTTCTTTACACGAAAGCACTAGGTCTGTGCTTTCAGAATAATCATAAAGTATAGCCTGGTAATAACAAAATACCATCTCTTCATAATATGGTATTGTCCAAATTGAATAAAATCTAAGTCTTGGATGGCATAGGATCTCCTGGCCATCCGCTATGACCATTTTTGGTTCCGTGACTGATTCACAAATAGGGTTATAGGCTAAATCCACATTATATATCTACCAACGCAAGGATGAGGATGCATTCCAGGTGCATGTGAATGAGTGAGTCCATGACATGTAATCAGGTAACCAGACTTATCATAAATATCATAAAGGGTCCTAAATCCATTAGCAACTTGAAATGTCAATAAAAATATCTGAATCTGTAATCTAATCATTTTTTAAAATAATTATAAAAGAATATTTATGTATTTTAAGATCTATTACATAATCCCAAAATTTCCATAGTCTTAAAACATTATTATATATTTGATCTATCAAATATTCCAATGTGTTTAGTTAACTATCTATGCTGTTAGTTTCTTCAAATATAATAGAAGTAAATTCTGCAATTGCTTTAAAACGATAACAAGCATTAGAGAGAATAATTAATTAAATGAAAGAAAAGTATAATTCTGAAAAATTTTTAATTAAAAACAATCTAATTCAAATCTCCTAAAAAATTATTTCTAAAAAAAATCTTATTGGAAAATATTTGTAAAATTCCATACATGAATTAATTTTAAGCAATTTTAATATAAGGTTGTATTTCTTTTTTCTTCATTTAGACATTTGTTTAAACAATACTGGGGTCTTATTTTTTTCTCATAATTTTTGTGATGCAGCTTATAAAAATGAGTAGAAAAGTCAGAAATTATTTATTATTATTTAAAGGAAGGTAAATAAGTAAAAACTAATGTATTTTATGTGAAAAATAAACTATAATAAGTTGCGTTCGTTAAATATCATATATATGAGAATAATTCAAATTTGCACAGAAAATGTCATATAATGGTAATAATGGTAGTGAGAGTTATTATAAACGTTTATCAACCATAATTTTGAGATGGAATTGAGCTAACAAAATTGTTTGATAGTTAGAAAAATAATGCAATTATATCAATTATATATATATAAATTCTATAGGCTTTTCTTTCTTTAATTTTGGTGGTCTTTGCCTCACTACCTTCTTATTTAGGGCAAAGAATTAAAATACTTACTTAATTTTTTTGTTTTTTAAAAAGGATGATCACATTCTGAGATTTAATATTTATGAATTGCAATCTAATTAAATATTTTTATTCTTAATGTTAAAAAAATTTAATATTTTTATTTTCGCTTTTCATTTGAGCACCTCTAACCATTAATCATTCAAACCCTAATTAGATTGTTTTATGTGATTGCAATATTAACGAATATTCTAATAAAGTTGCTGGATGATCATATTAAAACACACAAAGGAATGTTAAAAATGTAAATGATATTTAGGTCTTGAGAAATGCTTAAAGTTATGAATATTAAATATTTTTTCACTATTTTTTAGGTTGCGACAAATTATCCAATTTATTATAAATATTTATCACATTCACTATTTGGTTAATATAAAATGAAATTTTCTTTTCAAACTCCTAGTCATGCTTCTAATTACTCCCAATAAAGTCCAATAATTTTTTATCAATCATTAAAGAAAACTAAATGATCACTTGAAGCTCTCAGAAGACAATTTAATACTGGAGTTTAATGAGAAATTGGTTGTTTTTGGACAATCTATATTTTAAGAAGTTAATAAAGTTCATATCCCTAGATAAGCTTATATTAATCTTAGTAATAGAATAATCTTTACAAATTTTATAAAACATTATAAAAATATTTGAGATGTTAAGTTTGAAAATACATATTATTTTTTTTATCAGAATCAATATCTTACTTAAAATTTGTACTCTCAATGAAAATCAAGATAATTTTATTTATTTAACAATTAAAGAGTATCTTATTTTCGGTTATATTTAAAATGCAATGAAATATTGTAAAAGGAAGTTGGAAATATTAAAAACTAGTTAAAGTAATCAAAAATAACCACATATATCAAAATTCTGCATAATAAAGGAATGGCAAAATATTATCAAAAACTTGAAATTTACTCATTTTATCAAAGTGGTTTCAAGTTTATCGAGTCTTATCCAATCAAAGATTAAATGCTTGATTCTATATTTTTCAAGCATTATTAATATTTGATATACTAGATTAACTAATCTTAGGAAATGAATATTTTCCATTAATTTATTAATTACAGATTTTTTTTAAATCCATTAAATATCAATAATATTAAATTTCTTTTATTTAATCGATAGGTTTGTTTCTACAGAGAGATCAAAAATTTGTTATCGCTTTCTTTCTTGAACTATATTAATACCTATGCAATGTTATGTATGATTTTAAAGTGTTTAATTAAAATGGCTAAACTTTTTTAAAAAGAAAAATGTCAAACAAATAACAAAATGTTACATATGATTTTTATGAGATGATATTGTACTAGATTATAAGGCCAGGACTAAAAATCTGTCAGTTAGAAAATATAGAGGGATGTTGAAAAAACTGGGAATTCTCCCCCAACTTGATTTTCAGAAAAAATAGTGGCTTCCGAGAGAGTCAAGCCTTTAAGCTGAAGTTTAAAAGTTTCATAAATAAATGCAAAAGCTTAAAATAGAATTGAATTTCTGAACTTTGTGAATTATTGTATTTGTGTAGATCTATAAAATGGAAAACGGATAAGTCGAAATAAATAGAAAAAACAAAAATTAATTGTTAAGGGCATTTTATCCTATCTAAACGACCTTACAAGGTAGTATTAGCCTTATGAAATGGGGTATCCTTTATCGTGACTTGAAGGAGCATCTCTACACATAAGATCTTGTATCTGAAAAGATACAATCATATTATACTAGAATACTGATATAACAATGAGAGAGCGCTTGATTTGATAGTAGGTTGCTGAGAGAAATGCCATATTCAAAGTTGACTTATGCAAAATCATGAAAAACAGTTTAGGGCTAGTAAAAGAAGTTATAAGAAACATACCATTTTCCGTTTATGAAATGGTAAGCCGATAAGTTTATTATGAGTAATAATATTTGATCTTCCTAATCAGACTAACTGAGCGAACTAGAGCTAAAGGAGGAAATTCTTTGCCAAATCCTAAAGTGCTTTGATAAATCTCTTTCCCCTGCTTGAAAATAATATCCTTAACCTACAGGCGGGACTTAAAATTGAGAAAAAATTATCCAAATTAAGATTATTGAATCCATGAATAATTTTAAATTGATAAAATATTTGCATTAAATATATCAATATAGTGATATTTATCATTATGATATTTAGATAAACATGCTTGATGAATAATTAATGGGTTAGATAATAAAAATAATTAGAATTCATACCTAAAGGTTTTTATTTATTCTCAACAATTTGAAATAAGTTTTCTAATCTATATTTGCTTTGATTCTTCATCCCAAGTTATCAATAAATCTCCATCCTCAGTTTAAGTTCCAAAGATATATCTTGTTCCAAACTCTATGGATTGCTCCAAAGTAAATTTGATGTCCTCCTATTTTGAATGCTTAACTTTTAATAAGTTAACATAGTAACCATTCTTGATAATTAGTAACTTTTTAGATTATATATAAGCTGATGGGAATCCAGAAAAACAATATTGATTACTTCCTCTTACTGAAATTTCATCTCGTTTCTCAAATTATTAATAAGAAGAATTGAATTTGAATATGTATAGGTGTGTACCTTTATGATAAGAATTAGGTTAGAATGAAAACACTTCATCTGTGATAAATGACAAGCGATATCCTTTTTAAAGCAATCGAATTCTTTGCTTTAAATGCCATTGTTGATTCGTATCGCTTTCAATAATCAGGATTGTCTTATCATCACTACAAGAGAGTAATTTATTTCCATTAGAATTAATAGCTAATGAGTTAACTGTTTAACTATGTTCATATATGGTCTGTAAACAACTCCATTGTTAGTATTTTTGTGGCATTGAACCCCAAAATTTTATTGTTCCTTCATTTGATCCACTAACAATTAGATCCTCATTATTAGGATGCAAAACAGTGCATCGAATATCAAAAGCATGACTCTTCAATTTAAAAAGGAATTTTATTTTGGAAAGTACAATTGAACCCCATATAAGTAACTATGAATTTGCTAATCCAGAAATAAGGTGGTCCTTTGTGTTAAAAAAGTTTAGAGTAAATATTGGGCCTGTATTAATTGTTGTAATTAACTTCATACATCCTTTTTGAATTTGAAAAAATTTGATTTCATTATCAGAACCTGATACTAATATTCTTTAAGTTTTATTAATTGAAAGAGTTTGTAAACTTCTGTAATGATCGAATTCAGAGATGAGTTCATATTGGTCTTAAAATTGTTATGAGCTTTAAGGCTTTTATACCTTACATCCCATTTCAATTAATTAATTCAATTAATTCGTTATTGAGTAAATATTGAATATTTGCAAGATATAAATGATAATCAAAAGATTTTTCCTAACAACAATATAATAATAATTATTACTTGATGTTACAATTTGACTTAAATTTAGATTTTATGAGAGAAATTTCAACAGTCTTAATTTTCTCTCTTTTTATAAAATTAAGATTTGTAAGACTACATTATCCTTATCTTTAGATTAATCTAAGATCCCATAAAATCTTCAGCCTACTCTTTTTTTATTTCGTTTTCTTTCTTATTAAATACTATTGAATTTCTATTACTTTATTTTGAGGTTTTATATTCTTAAACCAACAACATCTGGCATTTTTTATGAGGAAGAAAATCAGAATTTTTTAAAAATAGGTGTTGATGTAAATTATCATAGTGACGTATCACATAAAGATTATAGAATAATAATATAATCAAACACAAAAAAAAAGATTTTTAAGTTAATACATCGATACCATAGTTTCAATGCATTAATGATTCAACTTTCATAAATTCAATTACTTTCATGATTTTTACAAATTATATAGATTTTAGATTGATAGCACATGTAATAGAAAATGTCAAATAAACATCCTGAAATATGGCATCCACATTTTGGAGATTGATGCATCAAATAAATGTATTTATAGGTAAAGAACTTCTCAATAAACTAAAAATAATATATTGAAACTACAGTGTATTATCTTGACTAGGTAACAATAAAAAATAAAACTACTAAGTAATTTCACCCTTGTCCTTTTCCTGGGTTAGGTTAAGACTGTCCCTAACATGCCAGGAATATGGTAGTGTAGATACAAAATACCTTTTTGGCTATTCCTATAGGGGGTAGGCCATTTAAAATACCAAATTGATGTTATTAATCATTTATTAAGGTATTAAAATATTGATCCTCTAAATAATTTAATTCAAATATATAATTATTTTAGAAAATTTTATATTTGAGAGTTAACTTGAACTTTAAATTTATTATAATCAAGTTTACATTAAAAAGAATAAATTATCTATATTTACATATAACACATTCACTTTGGAAGAGAAAGTTTAAGAATGGTAGCAGATATTAAGAAAATCTACAAGAAAGGAACATCAGTACTTAATACATAGCTAACAGGATGAATGCAGATAATGAACAGCCTCTTTCAATTCAAAAGTCACTAAATACATAGCTTGTATTTTCAATACTTTTTCTCAAAGCAGAGCTTACTATTATATGTGTTGTTTTACCACGGCTTCAGAGTTTTCGTTACAAATATGTACTGCACCTATCCTCAGATCTACAGGGGCATTGATTTGCATCATATAGATATTCCTATATCTAGTAATTAAGAGCTACACAACATTGGCAGTTTTAAGTTCTCTTTAAGAATTATAGAAAAATACCAATTAAATTAAACTTTGAATTAATAAAAGTTGTTCAACCTTTCGTTCCAATAGGCATTCTAAACATCTTCCATTTATTCGAGTATTTTTCTAAGTACCAGGTTATATATTCACAATAATAAAGCAATTGGTGGTATCCTCATTGCCCAGTAATTATGAAATTTTATAGGGATTGAAAGATTCTTCTTCATTTCAATTAATTATCACTGTTATTTTGTCCAATAATGCTAAAGTAACAACATTTTACAATTCAATACACTGTGTAAATTTATTGACTTCATCCTTCTTTATTATGCAATCCTTCTCTACAGTACATGATCTCCAAAAGGAAATTAATGAAGAACTAAAAGTATTATTTGATGTATTAATTAATGGACACAAATTTTCTTAAATTTAATCTTATTAAACCAAATATTCATACATGGCTACAAAGCTTTGGACTTAATAATTATTCATTTCAATAGTGCCACCATTTATTGTTTCAAGTATAACAGCTGACTGTAACCATAAAACATCAGAGTAGAAATAAAATTATACATGCAACTGAGCATACATGAATGATTGTCAATTCTTTAAATAACAATAATAAAAAATTAATAAATGCTAAACTACTATTGCAACATTGCATTTGAATAAAACATGGCCAAATTTTGATCAAGTTATAAATATTGTAGGCATTATAACAAGAAGCGCATATTTTATTATTAGCTAAGTGATTTAAGCCTCCATTTACTTAGTGACCATAATAATTCACAGCACTAATGAATTTTATGTAAGGATGATTTTATAAGGTCAACAAATCATGTAAAAGCATTACTATTATCAGGACTACCATCACAGCAACGGGTACATTGAGAGAAAGTGTCATAAAATCCTCTATTGTTGCTATTTCCGAAATTTACAGGCCATCTATCTGCATGATAACTCCACTGAATTTAATTGAGTATGCAAGATCTATGCAGATTATTCAACTGCATGATGCAATACAATACCTTAAAATTATGGAAGCAAACCAGCTTAGCAGCACCATTAATTTTGAAGCCATCATCAAAATCAAAACTCTCATTAGTTGAAGGATATGGATGGATAAGAGCAATATTCATAAAAACCTGGTGTTAAGAATGCTTTGACACAAGTGGCAGTTGTTCTTGTGAACATCGAAGGTATAAAGATAATTGTAAAATTAATAACGATTGTCAGAACACTCAATAGGAATGCAATTTTATTAGGCTGGAAAAGAAAGCCACATAATTACTATATTTCGTAAAGAGGAGACAATCAATAAGTCTAACCTTAAGTTAACACGATTTTTGAAGTCTATAACTATACTATGCATCACAATTTAACTACTAATTAACACAGATTCAACTCAGGTTATCTAATAATATTTGTGGTCATAGCATAAGCGATTGCCGAAGAATTTATTACCTCCAAAACTTCATTTATATATGGTCGTACTCGATATTAAGAGATAGTAACACCCATTAAAGATTGAATTGGTTATTATGTGTTATTAATATCCTGAACTATAAAAGTTCGCGAAGTATAAAGTAGAATTTGAAAGTATTTGGAGGTGTTTTGCCATAAAAACGATGGCTACCGCAGAAACATTATATGTATTGATACATATCGTGGCTTGACCTGAGACTAGACAATTGATATCAACAGGTACTACATTTGGTTAATAATAATTACTAATATTATGAAAGAACCATCATAAACTCAAAACATGAATATGCGTCAAGGGAATATTAATTGATGTTGATGGAAAAAATTTCCATTTCTCTACTTTGGATCGTCAAATAAGTAAAGCATAATAAGAAATAAAATCAAAACTATTCTGCCTGTCATTTCTTCTTATGTGCCCTATGTAAGACTACTATATCTTTTGTGTATATACCAAAATCTTCATGTGTAAAATAATAGTTTTAAACTTTACTTGAAAAAAACGAAACTTTTAGGTGTGTAATTACAATATCACAGTGCGGGATTATTTAGTATTCAAAGAAAGAAATGGAAATCAATAAAAGCCGGCCCACAAGTTTAATGATATATCTTCTGTAAAGAGACAAAAACTCTATGCAGTCTATTCGTGTTGGAATGTTAGATCATCTTCACAAAATGCGGAATAGCAACCTAGAGACTCCTCTTAAACATTTTGAAAAGAGAAATAATCTCTCAAAAATTTACGAACACAATGGCAGCTATTTTTTTCTGTTTTTTTTGTTGAAAAGGTAGAATCCGCATCTCTAAAATCAAGATTTTGTTCATCACTTAAAAAGCATGTCAAAATGACCATTGATGAATATAAAACAGCCCATAGGCTTTCTTTTAATAGGATAGCATCTATGCTAAAATATCCAACAATTCATCACATAGTAACCTTTACCTTTTATCAGATTCTTTAACACAAGAAACTATAGTTAATAATTCCTATAGAATATAGGTAGCAATCTTAATTCTTTTCAAAAGATACACAAACCAAGGACCTTGCTTCAATACATTCTATATCATGCAATAATTTGTTGTTTGTTTGCTTAAAAAATGAGGATATTTACAATATAAATATTCTTAGTCTATCGAAAAAATAGTTTTGTGTTTAGTTCTATTATCCTTTGACCTTAGAAATGTATAAATATCTCTCAAATTAAAATATGGCAAAACCACGGAGTACCCATGCTATCTTTCTCATGCATGATAGGAAACGAGTCTAACAACGCTTTGATAGCATATATGTTTTCTATTGAGTCACAAAAGTCATTGTGTCTAGACTAACTTTTGCAGAAAGGAGGAATCTAAGTGCGTAGAAGCAACTAGAGGAAATATGTTCGTATATCAGAATAATAAGGGATGCAGAACTTAGCAAAGCTTCATCTTACAGATACACTATGCTGTAGATTAAAGATTCGATTAGGAAAGAAAGAGTCATTTTAAATTTGAGTCCATAATCGCTTTTTGCTACTTTACTTTTTGATATTCACTTTGTTCCTATTGGCAGAGCAATTACAATTTCTCAAAATGAGTAGTTAGATAGTATTAGATCAAAAATAATTATGTCTTAATATTTAAAAAAATCAACTTAATAAAATCCAGAAATAGTAGAATCATAGATCTTGAAAATTTGAAAATTTAAAAATACATAAGCAATATCAATCTAATATTTTAACTTCACAAACACCAAAGTGACCTTTTTTGTAATTAGCATAGAAATCTAAATAAACTCCTTTCAATGAGACACATCTGTGGCTGTAGTAAATAAAGCCTCATTTCGATCATGTTTTTCCACTCATTAAGAGATAAGGAAGTGAAAGTAACTTTGGAGACATTCAGTCAAGCTGGTCTTTCAATTTCTAGAATCAACCTAAATTAATGCTATAGATAGCTTGCAGAAACAGCTTGGTTAGTTGCCTTGCTTATGTTGAAAAAGTGCAAGTAAGTATTTCCCTGAAGTGAATCAAGTAGACCCTAAGGAAATGATGGAAACATATTCTCGCACGAAATTAGCACCTTATACATCATTTTGGCTTCCTTGACCATCACAGATATTTAGGGAGTTTGTGTAAAAACCTTGCTTTTAGTAGAACTTTATTCATGTTGAAAAGCATGATTAATTATTGTTTATAAAAGTTAATAAATGCATTAATAATGAAGCTATCAACAAAACTTAAACGTAAGGTTACATAAGTATCAAGAAAAACTTGTTTGAAAAGTTTGAAAACTAAATTTAAACTTTCATGAAATAATTCTTTCAAATCATGATAAAACTATATAAGACCAAATGATATTTTAAATTGTATTTAATTCTACACTCCTGGCTCTTTAGAACTTTACTAATTAATAGTGCGATTTTATTCAGAAATTTTTAGTAGGATTGTAGACTACAATAAATATTACTATTTCAGATCTAGAGGCAAAATGTGTTCAAATCTATTTATTTATTTGTTTGTGAAATTAATATTCGTTAATTAATTTTTTTTTGTAGATGATGATGTTATAGGTTTCAAAACAGTAAATAACATACTTAGCAAATGAGATATTGCAAGATAAATTGGTAAATATGAAGGAACTGAAATCAAAGACTTATAGTGTAAAACTTTAGGGGAATGTAACAACTTTAAAAATTGAACAAATATTAAGTTCTCTTAGCTTTTCTAAATTAGTATTATATCATAGAAAGGATTAAGTGATTACAAAAGTGTTCAATAAACTACTCTTCAAATACTAAAAAATTAGTACTCCATCAATGTTCACTTAGTAAATATCTTTTACAAGGTAAATTTATTAAAAGCTTTCAAATGGAATTACTTATTCTTTTGAGATGATATATGTATATTGCTATGGAACTTGATAGGATATATGAAACTAAATATTAGAGAAAAAGGTTCCATCTATAATATATGCCTAATGATATTAATAGACATTAAATTAAAATAAAATTTTGCATTCAATTAAGATGGTAATCTGATTATCCTTTATTCAATTTTTTTCTTAGTTTGTGTATAGAGACAGCTTAATAATTTATTTCTTTTCACTTAATTATATATTAGGAAATATTTAATTAAATGACTTTCAAACAGCCTTTATGGTCGCTTTACATAAAACATTCCAAAGAATCCTACAAAGTGACTAGATATTTAAGAGATAATTATAGTGTCTTTAATTTATTACTTGTCCTCAATACAAAAACATTAAAGAAAAAATTTAAGATTTTTGTGTATCTTAAAGGATTAGATCCATAATAGTCTCTTAGAAATGTAAATTTAAAGAACCGAAATATAATTTCCTTAAATTCATCAGCTTATTGCATATGTCACAAAAATGAAATTTAGCGTATTTATTTAAGTGGATCTTATTTAATTTCGTAAATTTTCAACGCTTGTAATTAGCTTCTCTGGCAAACCTCTACTTACAGATCACCAAAATGATGACATAAAACTCCCCAAGCCTTACCCTATCATAAGATCCCTTCTATTGATAAATTGGTTAAAAAGTTAATCATACTTACTTAAGCTGGACTTTCTTATGCTAGAGGGAATGCAAGTATTAAAAGGTGACTAAATGAAGCCTATTTTAACACAAAAGGGTGAAATTTATCAAACAAAAGTAAGAGGCTAAAACCAGCTAGATAAATCAATTATATCAATAGAGGTGATTTCAGAAATGAAATCCCTAAACTAAACCTTAAGTAGGATTATTTATGAATTGAGGGAATAAGATGTATTTCTATTTAAAAGCAATTCATTTAAGGAAAAATGCATATAACTTCACTACATATAATAATTATTATGCTATTTGTTTTAGTTTTGATAATACAATTTCATCTTGTAATTGTCCTAACTTGTAGTGATTAATGCAAAACTTATTTAAGAGTTGATCTCTTGCACTCTGTCTAATTTATAAAAATTAGTTTATCAACTGTATTAATGAATATTTATAGAAATGGGGTACAGTGAATAGTGTATTGGCTAAATTTAAAATCCGTCTATGAAGACAAGTGATGACATACATTAGAAAGTAGCGAAGATTTTATTAAAACAACACTTATAATTAGAGATGATATGGGATTAGATGTTATTTGGGATCTTACACTTTTCAATTTTAGATAATAAATTGAAGATATCCGTTAATAAGCAAAACAAGATGTAAAAACAGAGTAGTATATTATCAAAGTTAATACATTCTGGAAAGATGCAAAATGTGAATTATTGAAACACATGGATACTGATACCAGAACAATGAAACATTTAGATGAACATTTGTATAACTTAGAAGAACATTAATTATAGATCAAAAATATTTAATTGAATAAATATGTGAAATTTTTTGAGAAGAATGTTTAAGAATGGAATAACAATTAGGAGCAATTAATGACGCTATTTAAATATTACCAGAAGTACAAAAGACATGGTCTTTTTTGGAAAACTTATTAATTCAATCAGAAGAAGTCAAGAAATAATTACCAAAAGAATCAGAATTAATTAGTTGAAATTTATAGGAATATGAAAGGGAATCTGATTATTAAATTAAGATTATCTAGAAGTTCTTTACCTAACCAAATATTTTGAAAAGATTAGAAAAAATATAATCAAATTGAACAGTTTATGAGAAGGCATTGATTAAATATTGGTTACTATAAGAAAAATATTCCCAAGATTTTATTTCGTTAGTGACAATGATATATTGGATATGGTTTCTCATGGTGGTTCACCTGCATAAATTAATAGACATATGTCAATGATATTCTACGCTATTGATAAGTTAGAATTATAAGAAAATTCTAATAAAAAGACCAATAGCCAAAAGATGATTACACGTGTTGGTCATGAAGAAGTGAATTAGTTAAAAAATTGTAATTGTTAAATCAAATTTAATCTATTTTTAAGCCATGATTGATTCTATGATTGATACTCTCAAAGAATAAGCCAAAAAATCATTTGGATACTATTATTCTTAGATATATCAATTATAAATTGATAGAAAAACGTGAATTGACTAACATCCAGCTTAAATTGTTTTATTAGACAATGACATTAAGTGATTGGTTCAAGTAGAAAAAGCATTTGCAAAAATATCTATGGAGACTTGAATGTCCTTAAAGGTTATTTTAAGAGAAGTGTTGAGGTTCTAACCGAGTCAAATTGGATTCGTCAGAGGATATTTGACGAAATCATTAAGATAAAAATTGATGTGTTTGATTACTACGGATGGTCACTCCAGAGATTCCATTTTGAATTGATTTACGAATATTTTCGTAAGCCAGATTAATTTTAATGGAAATCTTAATTGAAGTTCTATTGGATCAATAATGATGCTCATATTAGAGTGGCTGATGCTTCTTTAAATGATTGATATGAATATTTAGGTAATGTTCAAGATTAGGAATCACACCATTGACATATCATATTTATGTCACAGGCACTTAAGCATTGCATTTAAAGATGGGTTGTGCACTTACTGGTTTCGCAGCAGGAAATGGTAAAACTGAAACAACTAAAAATTGGGCAAATGCTTTGGCTAAAGTATGATGTGGGTTCAATTTCAGTTCAGAATTGAATTATTAATCTATAGGTAAATATCTACAAAGGACTTGCAAGTTCTGGATGTTGGGGCTGTTTTGATGAATTTTAATTGTTTAACACCAGAAGTTTTATCAGTCTGNAATATTTAATTGAATAAATATGTGAAATTTTTTGAGAAGAATGTTTAAGAATGGAATAACAATTAGGAGCAATTAATGACGCTATTTAAATATTACCAGAAGTACAAAAGACATGGTCTTTTTTGGAAAACTTATTAATTCAATCAGAAGAAGTCAAGAAATAATTACCAAAAGAATCAGAATTAATTAGTTGAAATTTATAGGAATATGAAAGGGAATCTGATTATTAAATTAAGATTATCTAGAAGTTCTTTACCTAACCAAATATTTTGAAAAGATTAGAAAAAATATAATCAAATTGAACAGTTTATGAGAAGGCATTGATTAAATATTGGTTACTATAAGAAAAATATTCCCAAGATTTTATTTCGTTAGTGACAATGATATATTGGATATGGTTTCTCATGGTGGTTCACCTGCATAAATTAATAGACATATGTCAATGATATTCTACGCTATTGATAAGTTAGAATTATAAGAAAATTCTAATAAAAAGACCAATAGCCAAAAGATGATTACACGTGTTGGTCATGAAGAAGTGAATTAGTTAAAAAATTGTAATTGTTAAATCAAATTTAATCTATTTTTAAGCCATGATTGATTCTATGATTGATACTCTCAAAGAATAAGCCAAAAAATCATTTGGATACTATTATTCTTAGATATATCAATTATAAATTGATAGAAAAACGTGAATTGACTAACATCCAGCTTAAATTGTTTTATTAGACAATGACATTAAGTGATTGGTTCAAGTAGAAAAAGCATTTGCAAAAATATCTATGGAGACTTGAATGTCCTTAAAGGTTATTTTAAGAGAAGTGTTGAGGTTCTAACCGAGTCAAATTGGATTCGTCAGAGGATATTTGACGAAATCATTAAGATAAAAATTGATGTGTTTGATTACTACGGATGGTCACTCCAGAGATTCCATTTTGAATTGATTTACGAATATTTTCGTAAGCCAGATTAATTTTAATGGAAATCTTAATTGAAGTTCTATTGGATCAATAATGATGCTCATATTAGAGTGGCTGATGCTTCTTTAAATGATTGATATGAATATTTAGGTAATGTTCAAGATTAGGAATCACACCATTGACATATCATATTTATGTCACAGGCACTTAAGCATTGCATTTAAAGATGGGTTGTGCACTTACTGGTTTCGCAGCAGGAAATGGTAAAACTGAAACAACTAAAAATTGGGCAAATGCTTTGGCTAAAGTATGATGTGGGTTCAATTTCAGTTCAGAATTGAATTATTAATCTATAGGTAAATATCTACAAAGGACTTGCAAGTTCTGGATGTTGGGGCTGTTTTGATGAATTTTAATTGTTTAACACCAGAAGTTTTATCAGTCTGTATCAAATAAAAGAAAAATAAAGTGTTATTCTCAGGAGGAGGGGAGATTTCTTTAAATCCAACTTTTTGTGTGTTGATTCCAATGAATCCAGGTTATTTGGAGGAACAAAATTACCAAAAGGAATGAAAGCATTTTGTAGACCAATCTCAGTGGTTGTTCCAGATTTAGAATTGATTGTGAAAGATTTATATATACTAAGACATTAGCACATAGATTTTTTAGAAAATATGGATATTTTCTCTGAATTATTATCAGATCTATACCCAAATATAAATATTCCAAAAAAGAGAGAGATGGAACTCAAATAAATCATTGAGTAAGGACACAGTTGAAAATGGATTAGATCATACCCTGATTATATTTTGAAACATCAGAATTATTGGAAATCGGGCATTGTATTTTCTTTAAGGGCCCGCAAGGAGCTGGTAAATCAACCACATGGAAGATATTGGCTAAGAGTAAGTTAGGTTTGGTAAGAAAACAACAGTGGTTGACTTAAATCCAAAGGTTGTTAGTACAAGAGAATTTAAGGTTACAATTTACCAACAAAGGAGTGGAAGGATAATTGGATCTTACAGAGTTTTGTCTTTGCATGAGTAAATACTACAATACTGAAAAAGCTGAATGTATAGGTATAAATCACATAATCTTTTAGCATGCATTACCTATTGCTTGAATTGTGCAATTTCTGCTAATAATTGCATGTCTTATAAATCAGATAAATAGTTATAAAGAAATGTTTGTTTATGTCAGACCAAGTCAAACGGAGCTGTCATAAGAAGTTATTAAATTTATGGGTAATTTGACTGTCAAAGTAATATCATTTAAAAATAACATAGTTGCAATTATTCTTGCTTACATTATTATGGATCTAAAATTAATCAATGTATAGAATGCTTGGCTAGTGAAATGAGAATTTTATAATGATAAAGCAATCTCTTATGATGGAATCACCCATTAGTTTATCAGAGATTGTAACTGGAAGATCATCAGTGATAACTGGACTAAAATACCTTAGAGGTTAATTAAAATTAGGACGGTTAAGATTATGACTACTGAATAAACGTCATCCAGAAATTCCAAAATGCGATTAATTCAAGCATCTTGTAATCACGAGCCCTTATTAAAATTTCTGGAACTTCTATTCCACGATAATTTACAATGCTATTTGAGAAATAGAATACTCAAGTCTCAATCAGGTTTCATATCTGGAATTGGAACTCAAGCAAATATATTCTTACTACTGGATTGGATAAGGCAAATTAGAATAATCAATACTTAAATTTAATTGATTTTATAAGTGCAAACAAAACATTATTCATAGATAAAGATTATATGAAATACTAAAAAGAGAAGAACTTTTACTGAAATGGAAGTGGATTATTTAAAACTTTTCATATCAAATTTGTTATGTTAATCCCTATAATGCAGATAATAAGGTTTATCTCAAACATGGGGTTTCTCAAGGTTCACCAATATCACCAGCTCGTATACTTAGATGAATTTCTGTTACAAACATCATGGAATTCGTTTAATTCTTATAATATGCTGATGATTTTGTCTTAATGACAGAGTAAAGTAATATCGGTTTCCTAATACCTTTAATAAAAAGCCTTTCTGTAAAATTGAATCTTAGAGTAAATAATAAGAAGAGTGGTGTTATGTCATCGAAATTTAAAGCAGGAAGTGCTTCAATATGCGAACTTCCAATTGCATATAAATACAAATATCTTGGAATAGAAATTGATCATCTTATTAAATGTAAAGGCCTTAAAATAAAAGATTAATTATATAAATCATAAGCTTTATGCAATATCGACAACTATGGAACTCGTTCATAGATTTTTCTTATACAATCAAATGCATGTATTAAAATTAAAATGGGTTCAAAAGCATGCTAAGTTCGGAGGCTTTCGAAATCGCGTTGTCCTTATTTGAAAAACTCTATAACAATAATCATGGAGATGTGTTTAACTTATCAAAGGATAAAGAACACATCAAAAAGGAATACTATATATGTAAATCTGTAGATGATGATAAGCTAGTAATGTTCTAGGCAACTAAAATTTTGAAACATGGTCTGTATACTTTGAAAAATGTTGAAAAATATGTTCATCAGAACTGTTTTGCATGTTATAAACATATTACCCTCCATTAGAAATTGAACTTGCAAAAATTACTAATGCAACAGAAAACAGTATATTAGTGAAGAATCATATGAATAATTACAGATGCTAAAATACATTGAAAATAGTGTAGAAATTAATAGAGAAATTAATTATTGAAATCCTGTAAAATACTATAAAGCTAAATTTTACGTCATAATAGTTGAATCACACCCAATTTTCATCAAATAATGCAAGTAAATTAATCTTTTCTTTGGATATTAAAGTCATGTCCTTAGTGTTTAATATTTGACATAGCTTGAAAATTATGTAGCTTGATATTAGTGCGCTATTATAAAACTGAAGATGAAGGCACTAAAAATTACGGTGCAAGTTCTTATGTTCAGCTAAAGCTATCAATAATTTTAAGAAAGTCAATGAGACACTTGTAATTTTTAAAGTTCTTCTAAAAAGAGTTCACTTATGTTATAAACGGATGACAGAGAATAATGTTCTTCAACTAGAGTTCCATGCCATTCTGATCCCATAAATGCTCTTCCTCTTTCTTGTATTTGATTTATCACATACTTATCATTGGATGGTCAAACAATAACTTAACATTTTCTGCCACTTTATTTAATTGTATAGATTCAAAATAAGGATTACAATTATCTTAAATTTGATTAGCTAAGAATATATATCCAAAAAACTGATATATGTACCTAATGGGTTAAAGGAAGTATTATGGGTAAGAAAAATGCTGTGATTACAATATGTATTCATTAAAAGGATGATGATGGCCGTTAAGAATGCTCTGAATATTGTCTAAACTATTCTGATATCCTTACATGTTCATGTCGTAGTGGTAGCTGAAAATAATGATATTATGTAAGGATATCCATACCTTTTCACAGTTTTGGTACTTTCAGGTTTTTTTTTACGGCACACCCCATACATCATTATGTCATTATAATTGCATCAAATTTAGACGGGCTGCTGCTAATATCTAAACTTTGTAGAACTGCTACTAAGTAAATTGAAACAACATTTATATCATGTCTCAAATAATAGTTTTTGTAGTCCTTTTAATAATGACTACATCGTGCTCATTTCAATTACATAGTTTGTATGTACTTTACTCTTATACTTGTGCAATTTCAATTACTTATTATTTTATACAAGCCTTTTATAAAGGATGCAGTAGATGGTGGAGCCTTTAAATTTGTGTAAGATTTTTATCTGGTAAATTCAAATTCACGCTTATCATGTAAAAATTGTAGTGCATTAAGAGCAAAATTCATAATCTACTTTAAATTTGCATCTTGGTGGCCATAAGTGATATGGAGTTAAAAACAATAATCGTAGAAATTGATTCTGCCATTCAAAGGATCCTTTTCATATTGGCTTTAGAATAAAGTTTTTAACAACAAGGAGTATTAATCTTGATAATTCATACATTTAATAATTTTCATACTTCAGGAATGCGAAGCGATTGCTGAGGATGCCATGGCACTAATTTGACAGTGAATTTGTTCATCGTTGACTTTTAATTTAAAGAAATTGATCTTGTCTTCAATAAATTGAATAAGAAGCTGAGGAATGAAACACTCAACCTACAAAATAAACTGCTAATAGGGGATGGACTAAACCTAAGACAAACAGTGTAAATCAACCTAGACCTCATTCTAAGACATATTTAATCATAAAAATAAACCAGCGGATATATCATCGTTAAAATCAATGACTTTAGCAACTTTAAAATAAATTTAACCCATTTATTCTGTATCTGTAAATATCATGGTAAGAACTTACAATCATCCCCTAGCTATATAATTTATAAATAATAAAGATTAATAGACTCTTCCTCCGGAGGTGTACTAGTAGGGATTCACAATTTGCTAACGTCTGAAAACCTGCAGCCAATTACTTTAACTTCATAATGAAATTTGACTTTTTAATAATTAAAGTTAGAACTAAATGTTTAACTTTAATTTTAATTCAACTATAAAAATAAACTAACAAAATTTTAAATAATACTGATTTGCCGAGTTTTTAAACACAATTAAAGAAAATCAACATATTATAATTAGCCGAGATTTCAATATTAGTAGCTAACCGTTTAAGTTATTTAGCCCAGTTCTACCTGATTAGATGAATACCTTTAGAAGTTAATAAACTACAAGGATGTCACTAAGTAGAACAGACCGTATGCTTACTTATCCTAAACTTTTCAACAAGGTTTCTTGCAAAATTACAAAAATACTTGATATAGCCACCTACTTTCGATCAAATAGGTTTCTTCCCAGTTCATAATAAATATATTAAATCTCATAAATTAACAATCCATTACTATAAAGGAAAATTACATATTTATAGATTTCAGTAAGGCATTTAATACAATAAATAGAGCTTAAATTATGCTAAATATTTGAAGACAAGATTCTTATCCTGTCTTTACACCCATAAACGGATGGATCTATCATCACTACCAGATGCTAATTTAGTACCATTAGGAGAATAACAAATTGTAATAACCCTATTTGAATGACCATCTAATTTGGCTTTTTATTATCCTGTCTTAAATTCCATAAACGGATAGAGTTATCTGAACTACCAGATGCTAATATAGCATCATTAGGAGAGAAACAAATTGATTTCACTACTTCTATTACTATCTAATTTATTTAATTCAATTATTTTGATATCCTTTCATTTGCAATTAAATAAACATGCTTAACTCAAGTTTATTCTATGTTATCAAATTCACATCCATTGAAATTGCATCTTTCAAAATTTCCACCAATTAAGGAAGTATCTTTTACGCTGATATTCTCAAATTCTATTCCTTCAAATCCACCTTTATTTCCTCTAATAAATTGAGTAAATTGGAACCATATTAGATAAAGTTCGAATCAATAACTGTCAGATAAAGAATTTCAAAAATTTAATAATCCGCTAATCATTTGATATTTGCTTAATCAAATTCTCCCTAATTTATTCATAATTTTCAGTTGAATAATCGTTTGAATTAATCAACAATTAATTTTGAATATGATGAGTGCAATTCATAAGTTTTTTTTCAAATAATACTTGTTCATACATTAATGCTTGATTAAGGAGAATAATAATACAAAAAGATAATCTTAATAACAAAATCACAAATATACTTCTAGATTTAGAAGTTGATACATCAATCAAGAATATAATTTAGACTTTAAATAATAATACTTATGATTTTGAATATGTATGAAATAGCAAGGTCCACGCTTGCTGCACAGGATTGTTTGAAGCCCGACTGTTTTGCTTGACTCGTTCTGCCTGTTGTTAGGGCTATTGCCGAATCTTCTAGCCTAGACCTTCCGTCCAGCCATTTATATATCCTTCCTTGGAGTAAGTGGGACGAAGTTAACTCTAAGAGAATTTGCAATCAAATAATACAGAATTTTACTTACAAATAATATTATAATTAGTATCACTATTTAGCTAAGTAAATATTAACAATTAACAACAAAATTAATAAAATAAAATTATTATTGGATATTTAAAGGATTTATAATTGAAGATCAATTTTGCTAATATTTTAGTTCATTCTCTAAAAACTACCCACCTTTAGATTTAAATAATGATCGTAAATCATATCCTTTATAATCAACAAACTCTCCATTCAAAATTAAAGATCCTTAAGCATCTAAATTGGGATTTTAAGAAATTTTTAAAATAGTAATATAAGAGGTAGCTAAGAACAGTGAAATATCAATACCACTGTCTGGAAGAATATTATTATAAATTTTTGAAGGGTTAAATTTTGCTAGAGCATCTTTATAACGATAATCTGAAGGTATGTTTTGTTGTCCTGTCTTAACATCCCATAAACGAATAGAGTTATCATGACTACCAGATGCTAATGTAGTACCATCAGAAGAGTAACAAATTGAATAAACTGATGATGAATGACCATCTAATTTGGCTTTTTATTATCCTGTCTTAACATCCCATACACGGATAGAGTTATCTGAACTACCAGTCGCCAATATAGCACCATCAGTAGAGAAACAGATTGAATAACTGTTCCAGAATGACCATTTAATTAGGCTTTTTATTATCCTGTCTCAACATCCCATAAACGGACAGAGTTATCTGAACTACCAGATGCTAATGTAGCACCATCAGGAGAGAAACAAATTGAATAAACTGTATTTGAATGACCATCTAATTTGGCTTTTAATTATCCTGTCTTAACATGCCATAGACAAATAGAGTTATCTCCACTACCAGTTGCTAATATTGTGCCATTAGGGGAGAAGCAAATTGAACAAACTTCATATTAATGACCATCTAATTTGGCCTTTTATTATCCTGTCTTAAAATCCCATAACCAGATAGAATTATCTCCAATACCAGATGCTAATGTAGTACCATCAGGAGAAAAACAAATTGAATAAACTGCATATTAATGATTATCTAATTTTGCTTTTTATTATCCTATCTTAACATCCCATAAACAGATCGAGTTATCTCCACTACCAGTTGCTAATATTGTGCCATTAGGGGAGAAGCAAATTGAACTGACATCATTAGAATGACCATCTAATTTTTTTATTTATTTTCTTGATTTAAGATTCCATAAATACACAAATTTTCCACTGATAAAAGCTAATGTAGTATTATTAGGTGAGAAGCATATTTGTTTTACTTCTTTCTTATCCTTGATAATAAACTTTACTTTTCCTGTTTTAACAACCCACAATATAATCGAATTATCATCATTACAAGAAGCTAATGACTTACTATCTGGAGAGAATTAGACTGAATAGACAAATCCACCATGACCATCTAATTTATTTAACTCATGAATTTTGATATTTTTCCATTTACAATTAAACAATTAAGCCTAATTCATGTTCATTCCACTAATATCTACATTGTCAAATTCTGATCCATTGAAATTACATCTTACAAAATTTCCACCAAATAAAGAGGTATTTCTAATCCTGATATTCTCAAAATTTTATTCCCTCACATCCACTTTCATTTAAACTAATAAATTAAGAGAATTTGATCCACACTAAGTGTATCTCTCATCTAAGGCAGTCAAATGAACTAAAAATTTGAGAAATTCTATGATTTTCTTATCCCATGATATTTTTATGATCAGTTTCTTTTTGCTTTCATCATAATCATCGATTGAGTAATTCTGTTTATTAAATTCATGATCCCTAATTTTTTTGAGAATTTCCATTTATTCTCTTAATGTTCTTCTATCCCTTGAGAGTCTAATCTTTACCAAGTAGAGATAAATTTTCTAATTTTTATCTTTCTATTTCTACAAAGATTTGATTTTGATCTTATGAAAGAAATTCTAAGCAGTCTTAAATTCTCTTTTTTTTTAAAATGTAAACGAGGTTAGTGAGGACTAAATCATCAACCTCTTTGGAAAAGGCCAAAACCTTATACAACTCTCCAACTTACTCCTTTATATAATCCATTTTCTATTTTTTAAAATAATATTAAATCTCTCTTACTATGCTTTCAGGTTTTATGCTATAAAAAAAATGTTTCTGACACTATTTTGTTTGGAAAATATAAACATTTAGAGTTTTGTAATTGATGTAATTTATATAAAGGAAGACTCACATTACCATGTGCATAATTGAATTCTTAAAGAATATAGAATAAGCCAAATTATGAACGCATCAAATAATCACCGAAATCTGTGTTAATCATCCATCATTCATATCATAAATTTATTATTATTAAGAATTTAAATTTTGATATCAAATTACAAGAACTTACAAAGGGTTAAACCTGAGAATTTATGCCAAGTTTGATGATATTGAAATATATAATTAATGTTTATATGGGTTTGGGGTTTGGGTTT